TGGCCAAAATTAAATTATTTGAATTCTGCAGCTTGTAAATATACGAAGCTGATGCAACCTGCTGCTTATGCCAGAGTTTAAACATCAGTGCAAAATGCCACATTTGAAAGAAAGCATGTGTTTGACTCTTAGCAGGATATTTCTAGAAAGATCAGGGAGTGACTTGAATTTAGGCACCAGCCTCCAGCCAAGTTCTCCATGGGTGTCTGTTTTTATCAGTCAGGGTTCAACCAGAATCAGTAGGACATGTACAGAGATGTAGTGTCAGGAATTGAGGGCTGGCTAGGAAGCCTAGAATCTGTAGTGCAGGCTGTGAGGAAGGACAGCCTAGAACTTTCTGGCAGGAGCCGAAGCTCTGCTCTTAGGGCTTTTCAATGGATTGAATCAGACCCACCCAGATTATCCAGGATAATCTCCTTTAAAGTCTATTGATTATGGACTTTAATCGCATTTATAAAATACATTCACAGCAACAACTAGAAGAGTGACTGAGTAACAGGCTACTATAGCCTAGTCAAGTTGGCACATTAAATCAGCCATCATGGGTTGGGGAAACTTAAATGCTCATCCCATTGTTAAACAGTTATAAGACTATTTGGACTTTTCTAAGTTGCATTATTTCTATGAATTGTATTTTATTTCAAACTTTCTGTTTTTGCTCATAACTCTTATCATTTAAAGTTCATAGAATTTATAATTACAGTCTCTATTCCATTCCTGTAACTTCTGTCTTCTTTCTTGATTAATCTCACCAAAGTTTTGCTACTTTTCAAACAATAAAATATTGGTTTTGTTCACCCTCAGTATTGGTTGTTTTTTCCTTTTTCATTAATTTCTGTATCTTCATTCATTCATTTTTTTGGGGGACAGGCAGTTATTTTCCTCTTCTTTTTTAAATTTCTTGAGAGGGATACTTAGCTCATTAATGTTAGCCTTTTCTTTTATAACCACACACATTTGTGGCTAATATTTTCCCATAAGCACAACCTTGACTGTATCCCACAAATTTTGATATGTAGTATTTTCCTTATCAAAACATTCAATGTATTTTCAACTTTCTATTATGATATTTTGACCTATAGTTATACAGAAGCATGTTGCTTCATTTCCAAACAGGATGTGGGTGAAAATGTCAAGATAGGAATTTGGGAGTAACATTATTCAACTCATAGCCCTTGATAGTGGTTGGGATATACTTTTATCTCCTCTTTCCCTGGCCCCTACTCCCAGCTTTGATAAGGGTCAGAGAAATATACATATTCAACTTTAGTAGACAAGGTCAAATAGTCTTCTAAAGTTCTTGTACCCATTAAGCCTCCCTCCAGCCATGCATGAGAGTTCTAGTTGCCCTCACATCCTTGCCAACATTTGGCATTCTCTGTTTTTTTTAAATTCTAGATCAGTTCAGTTCAGTCACTCAGTTGTGTCCAACTCTTTGCGACCCCATGGACTGCAGCGCACCAGGCTTCCCTGTCCATCACCAACTCCCAGATCCTATTCAAACTCATGACCATCGAGTCGGTGATGCCATCCAACCATCTCATCCTCTGTCATCTCCTTTTCTTCCTGCCTTCAATATTTCCCAGCATCAGGGTCTTTTCCAATGAGTCAGTTTATCTCATCAGGTGGCCAAAGTATCGGAGCTTCAGCTTCAGCATCAGTCCTTCCAATGAATATTCAGGACTGATTTCCTTTAGGATTGATTGGTTGGATCTCCTAGATCTCATAGTTTTAATTTGCATTTCCTGAGAACTAAAGAGACTTACCACCACACAAAGCAACAGTGTGTCCTGATGAACAGAAGTTCTTCATTTGCATGTAGTTTTATCTTTTTTAAAAATTTTACAGAGTGTGATTGGTGAGAGGATCTTTACAGAAATAATTAAGGAAAAATGAGGTAGTTACAGAGGGTCCTAGTCCAATATGGCTTCTTACAAGAAGAGGAGGTGAGGATCCAGACACACACAGAAGGAAGATCATGTGAGGACACAAGGAGAACTTGAGTGAGAGAAGCCAGACATATAAGAGCACATACTGTGTAGTTTCATTTATGTCAAACATAAAAATGGGAAAACCTAATGTCTGCTACTAGATAGCAAGAGAGGGGTTCCCCTCAGGGAGGTAGTGACTAGGAGGGGAACTGGCAGACAGGCTTCTGGGGTGCTGGCCAGATTTTGTTTCTTGACCTGGGTGCTTTTGCACACATAATATTCTCTTTGTGAGCTGACATCAAGCGGCACACTTATGTATGATCTGCACATTCATTTCAGGGTCTATTTCACTTCTGTACAAAGTAAGAAAAACACAAAGGCACCAAACTTGAAGTTTTGGGTTTTCTTATTTTTTTTTAATAATCTGAAGGATTGGAAGATAATTAGGCAGGAATGACCTTCCTTTGTTATTGGACAGCATCTGTTTTTTATTTTTTGTCCACTGATGGTGTCACAGGGCACCTGTTGGGATACACACATGAGGGATTGGCAAGAGCAGACCCACCTGGTGCACAGAGCCCCTGGTTGTTGGGTGGGGAATGAAAGAGAGCCTGCATGGAATCAGGGAGACCTGGTTAATCCATGGCAGAGTCCAAGTTAGGACTCCAACCCCATCCTGGACTCCATGTACCATAGTGTGCCCACCGTCTAGTCCTCGGGGCCCCTGGTACGGTGGGGACAGTGCCAGCCCTAACACTCCTTGTGTCCAGTGGACCTTGGTCCGAGTTTCTCCCCACTCTGACTTGGGGTAGGCTCCTGACTCACAGCCTCACAAGCAGCTACTTGCCCAGCTCAAGTACTGCTCGCCCTCTGAGGTTGTGAATATAAAGGTCAGGGGAATTCTTCTCTTTGGGCTCTAGAAGTCAGGAGGTGCATAGGCTCTGAGGGTCGCAGAGGCCCACAGGGCCATCCTGTGGGGTACTTGAAGGTACACGTGAGTGTCTGCAGTCTGTAAGACAATTTCAGGGCTGTGTGGCTCTCTCTCTCTTTCCCTCACAGACACACACACACACACACACACACACACACACACACACACATGCTTAATCACAGAAACCATTAGGGTCACATGTGCTTGATTGGCCAAGCGTGCTCATAGCTGGCTGTTTTCTGAAGCTTGTGGAGCTGAGGGGGGAATGGGGCCTCCCAGACTGCTGCTCTGGGGATGGTTGCGAAAGGCACAACATGTTACCACAAGATGAAGCTCACAGCTCAGCAGTCACTAGACTTCGCTTGTGGCTAGATCTGGGCACAAAATGCAGATGATGTCACTAGAGCTTCACATTATTTCATCCAATTAACCAAGAGTTAATTAGTATGTCCAGAGTGCTTTGAAGCTGAAGAGTACTGTTTATTCACAACTGGGGTGGAAGCAGTGAGCTGAGAGGCAGCACCAGGAGCACGGACACTGGAATGGGAAGATGGGCCAGGTTTCTGCTCCTGACTGGCTGTGAGGCTACTAGAAGACAGGTGTCAAAGTGTTTGTAGGAGTGTTCTGAAGCTGCCACAATAAAGTGCCACCCATGGTGGGAGTAAGGGGGGAGCTTAAAACAACAGACATTTATCTTCTCAAAGTTCTGGAGGCCAGAAATCAAGGTATGTGCTGGGCCATGCTATTTCAGAAACCTCTTGGAGAGAATCCTTCTCATGTCTTCCAGCTTCTGGTGGCCCCATGCTTTCCTTGACTTGTGGCTGCACCCCTCCCACCCTCTGCCTCCATATCCACATGGCCATGTGTGTCTCTCCTCTCCTCATTAGGGCATCATCTTATTGCATTAGGGCCCCCCTGAATGCCCTCATCTCAACCTGCTCTACCGAGACCCCATTGCCATGTCAGGTCATGTTCAGAGTTACTGGAGGTTAGAAAGGAACACAGTGGCCCTTGAGTGCTTTCTTGTGACTTTCCCTCCCTTGCTACTTCCCTCAGCACAGGCTTCTAGAAGGAGCTGGACAGAAGACTCTAGGAGGGGATTATCATTTTAATAGGTATTCTTTCATGAATAGGCTTTTCTTCTTAGACCAATCTCAGCCATCCCTGAGTGTTGGCCCCTTATCTGAACAATGAAGGGGCTGACCTAGGTGCCCTCACTCAGTTACAGACCCTGGAGGAGAAATCTCAGCCAACTGGGTGCTGGAGTCTGGCCCCAGAAGAGTGCTACCAGAGCCTGACTCTTCCCAGGCAGTCCTAGGCCAACTAGGATTCATGGAACATGGTCCTGGAGAATTTCCTCAGCCCTGGGTCATGCCTGTTTTCTCATTACTGTGTTGCTCGGTTTTCATGCCAGCAGCCTCCTACAGCAGAGGCCTCCTCTGGCTGATGCCTCCGGAAGTTTCTGCCTCCCCTTCAGTTCCATTTAGCTCAGCTCTATGGATCACTCACGCTGAGGTGGGGAGAGGTAGGCACCATGGTGCTCGCACGACAGGGGTCACAGGGAGCTTCTGAGCAGGCCCTGTCTTGGAGGACTCCTTAGTTTAGGGGGACACAGGGAGAAGAGCCAGGAATCTTGGGCTAGAGCCACTGGTGGAGGAAGCAGGCACAGGGGGAGCTTCAATTGGCCAGGCTGCTGGACCAGGAGAGACTTATATGAGTCTGCCAGCAAAGGGGACAGGAGACATTCCAGGGAGGGGTCCTTACATACTGCCATGGGTCTCCCAGTCCAGGGAGAGTCCATCTAATGATCCCTGGCCGTAGATGTCAGAAGTTCTCTTGGGACCCTCCACACTGAAAACAGCCACTCAACATACAGTGGTCTGAGCCTGAACTGGATTTGGAAAAGGGAGTAACCCGACAGTCGTGTTAACAGGATAGGGACCTCTGGAGCCCTTGAGCTGCAGTGGCACATGGCACCATCTCCTGAATAGCCCTCAGAGCCATGGGACCTTGGGACTTGTCCTGGTCTCGGTACCACCGGGAGCCCCTTCAGTTCACTGTGGCTAGATGGCCTTTGGCTGCATGGCCTTAGCTAAGCCTCTGAGCTTCTCTCTCCTGATTACTAATCCCAGCCCCAAATGGGGCACAGCGAACATGTCCAAATCCCAGTCCCTCCCCTACTGGGACACGAAGCCCAGCCCCAGGATCAGAGGCCTAGTCCTGGGCTTGGAGGCAGTGCTAGAACAAACACTTGTTCACCTGGGCAGTTGGATTCTCAGGCCTTTCTGAACCCACCCTACAGATCCACCCACATTTCTCAGCACCTTCTAAGCCAGTGTCATCATACTAGTGACCTCTGTACACATTTGACAACCATCACTTGGTGTCAAACCAGCCCAGTGAATGATCTGAATAGTATTTGGCAGACAGGGCTCCAGGGATCTAGCAGTTTGCTCAAAGCCCTTGGCCTATCAGAGGCAGGTTAGAGCATTAGGTAGGCAGCTCTTTGGTGCTTTACCCAGGGCCTCGCCTCGCCAAGCTCTGCAGGAACTGCCCCACCCTGGATTCATGGCTGCTGAGCCTGCCAGGACTTGTCTGCCCTTTGGCCCCCTCTTCAAGGTGGAGGCCTGCCACATACTAGGGCCCAGTACCTTCTCTGCCTCAATGGCCTGCTCAGCACCCTCTGTGTGCATCTACCCATAGGGCTGCAACTCTCCCTGACCACTGCTTAAGTGAGTTGTCTCACTGTCTTGTCCTTGCATTCAGATAGAACCTCATGCTTGACTGGTTTTGGCAAACCTTAGAGGACCAGGACACTCCTGCCCCAGTGACTACCAGGCCACAGTAATCCTTTTCGGGATCCAATGTACCTCATTAGCTACTGTGATGAGTTGACTGATGGCTCCCAAAGATGTCTACAAATTTGGAAAACTCAGCAGTGGCCACAGGACTGGAAAAAGTCAGTTTTCATTCCAATCCCAAAGAAAGGCAATGCCAAAGAATGCTCAAACTACTGCACAATTGCACTCATCTCACACGCTAGTAAGGTAATGCTCAAAATTCTCCAAGCCAGGCTTCAGCAATACGTGAACCGTGAACATCCAGATGTTCAAGCTGGTTTTAGAAAAGGCAGAGGAACCAGAGATCGTATTGCCAACATCCGCTGGATCATCGAAAAAGCAAGAGAGTTCCAGGAAAACATCCATTTCTGCTTTATTGACTATGCCAAAACCTTTGACTGTGTGGATCACAGGAAACTGTGGAAAATTCTTCAAGAGATGGGCATACCAGACCACCTGACCTGCCTCTTGAGAAACCTATATGCAGGTCAGGAAGCAACAGTTAGAACTGGACATGGAAAAACAGACTGGTTCCAAATAGGAAAAGTAGTACATCAAGGCTGTGTATTTTCACCCTGCTTATTGAACTTATATGCAGAGTACATCATGAGAAATGCTGGGCTGGAGGAAGCACAAGCTGGAATCAAGATTGCCGGGAGAAATATCAATAACCTCAGAGATGCAGATGACACCACCCTTATGGCAGAAAGTGAAGAACTAAAGAGCCTCTTGATGAAAGTGAAAGAGGAGAGTGAAAAAGTTGGCTTAAAGCTCAACATTCAGAAAACTAAGATCATGGCATCTGGTCCCATCACGTCATGGCAAATAGATGGGGAAACAGTGGAAACAGTGTCAGACTTTTATTTTGTTGGTCTCCAAAATCACTGCAGATGGCGATTGCAGCCATGAAATTAAAAGACGCTTACTCCTTGGAAGGGAAGTTATGACCAACCTAGATAGCATATTAAAAAGCAGAGACATTACTTTTCCAACAAAGGTCCGTCTAGTCAAGGCTATGGTTTTTCCAATGGTCACGTATGGATGTGAGAGTTGGACTGTGAAGAAAGCTGAGCACCAAAGAATTGATGCTTTTGAACTGTGGTGTTGGAGAAGACTCTTGAGAATCCCTTGGACTGCAAGGAGATCCAACCAGACCATCCTGAAGGAGATAAGTCCGGGGTGTTCATTGGAAGGACTGATGCTGAAGCTGAAACTCCAATACTTTGGCCACCTCATGCGAAGAGCTGACTCACTGGAAAAGACCCTGATGCTGGGAAGGATTGGGGGCAGGGGGAGAAGGGGACGACAGAGGATGAGATGGTTGAATGGCATCACCAACTCGATGGACATGAGTTTGAGTAAATTCCAGGAGTTGGTGATGGACAGGGAGGCCTGGAGTGATGTGATTCATGGGGTCGCAAAGAGTCAGACACAACTGAGTGGCTGAACTGAACTGAAAGAGGTCTACATGTTGGGGAGAAAGAGATGGAGCAATGGAAGCAGAGACCTCCAATCTGAAGATGGAGGAACCGGCTACAAGTCAAGGCTTACAGGCAGCCACTGGAAGCTGAAATAGGCAAGAGAATAGATTTTCTCCCAGAGCTTCCAAAAGCAACCACCCTGTTGGCACTTTGACTTTGTTTCAGTGTAACTGATGTTGAGCTTCTGACTTCTAGAACCCCAAGAGAATAAGTTTATATTGTTTCAAGCCAAAATATGTAAATGAATGAATGTAGCTGTGTACCAAGAAAACTGTATTGACCAAAGCAGACAACAAGCAAGACTTGACCCTGACTTCACAGTTTGCAGATCTCTGCTCTTGAGGAAAGGGGCATTTGAGTTGTTACTTTGTGGGACTCTCTGAGTAAGGGTCAATCTTGGTCAATTGTGTGTCCCTTTGGACTTAGCAGGGAGTCTGTTAATAGTTTCTGAATTGATGGTCCCCAACCCCTGTCCCACCCCACCCCCCCCATGGAGAAGAAAGCCAACAGCTTGTGCATCTCCTAGGGTACCTGCTAGACAAGGCATCTTGCAAGAGTTGGGAGATAGGCTGCAGTATAAGACAAAAGGAGGGACACTCTCCTCTTCTTTTCTCCCCTACCTAGGTCCCTCTTGAAAGTTCTCTGGGCTGAAGGAGCTAATGTGAACAAAACTCCTGGGGCTGAGTGAGAGTCAGTCCCAACAAAGGGAAGTCTAATTTGGAGTCTTCTGAGACCATCAACTAGGCAATGCTTGCGAAAAAAAGGTGGATGCTGGTGATGGAAGGTTGTAGTGTCTCCATTCCTAAACATCTATTTGTGTTCATTGGGCCCTTCACTTTGGAAAGCCTGAGATGAGAACCTGTGTCCCTTGAATCTACAGCATGTTAGGTGCACTGGCCTGGGGAAATGGGAACAGTACTCAGTGTCCTTGCCTGAGGCTCCCCCAGGTGGTCAATGTGGGTATTACCGCCTTTCTTCTCTCAATGTCCATGAGTCTAGTGACAATTACTGATCACCTTCTCAGCTATGCTTCCCTCAGAGCTTAGTGGTAAAGAATCTGCCTGCAGTGAAGGAGACCCCGGTTCAATTCCTGGGTCGTGAAGATTCCCTGAAGAAGGGATAGGCTACCCACTCCAGTATTCTGGCCTGGAGTATTCCATGGACTATACAAAGAGTCGGACTCAACTGAGCGACTTTCACTTTTCTCAGGAGTAAGCAGCACCTAGGACTTGAGGGACAGAGAAATGCATCAAAGGCCCCTGGCACCTGGCTCAGAAGAGAATGGGCAGCTAAGGTCATGAGTACTGTATGACTGGGGAAGGGCTTAGATGGCATACAGGGCAGGCTCTGCGGGAAGCCAGAAAAGAGACATCTTCATGGGGGAGAAAATGATGTTGGAGGTGAGGGTTGAAAGCAGAGGCTGCAGGCCCGGTTGTGCAGGGGAGAGTGCTGCTCAGGAGCACAAGGAGCTGCAAGCCTTACTTGCTGGGGTTGGTGGAGGGACGGAAGGTCAGGGAGGTCAGAGAGAGAGGCATTTCAGTTCAGTAGAAGGGAGAGCTTCTAACACCAGGCCGTCTCACCCAGCAAGCAGAGAGGAGGCCGAGAGTTCCTGTCAGCAGGTAGAAATGCACACGAGTTTGGAGGGTTGTGGCCAAAGGCCTGAACCATTCCTGTGCTGTCTGCCGAGCCAGCCTCTGCCTTGGTTCCAGTCCTTTCCCGGTTTGGAGTTAGGGACCCCACAGATGGAGGAGCTGGCCATAGGCAGCCCCCGTCCCAGGTGCACACTCTGGCCTCTACCCCCTTGGCTTGTCCCCTTTGGACCCTCCGTCCAACTCAGGCTTTTCTGCAGCTGCTGGCCCCCATCCCACTGGCTCGAATTCTGTGTTGGGCCACAGTCATGTTTGAAAAGCTGATGACGGCTATGTGCCTCACTTGCCAAAAGACACACACTCACAGATGCCCCAAAGGCTGTGTCCAATTTATGGGGTTCATAAGACCTCCTGAATACAGACAAGAATGCCAGGCCTGGAACCTCTGCTCCAACTAGGCCCGCTGGCTGCCCTGTTCCCCATTCCTTGGGCTGCTTCCTTTGCTTGCAGCTGTTATTCTAGGATGCCAGGCCAGGCAGGTGGTGACCTGTTTCCTGAGCTCTGCTCTCAGCTATGGGGATACTGGTTGGCTCTGCCTGCAGGGAGCTCCCAGCCCGGGTGGAGAGATCAGAGGAAAGACAATTTCCAGTCAGGAGAATCAGGGTAGCATGCATGACAGGGGCAGAGAAGGTTGGCTGGAGCATGGCAGGTGTCAAGCCAGGGGAAGAAGCTGGCAAGGTGGGCTGGGCACAGGTTGTTATGGACAGGCCGCAGAATGGATTCAGGAGAAAACTGGGCCCCACTAAAGTGTTTTTGGCAGAAGAGAGGCAGGGTGTAGATCTGTTTTAGGGGAGGACACCGGGATGGGTGCAGAGCCTGGACCAGAGCGGGCAGACAGATCAGCTCAGCCATCTCAGTATATCAGACCCAGGTGTGGACAGGCCAGGGGTGGAAATACATCAGCCCAGCTGGGGAGGGGAGAGGGCGTAAAATGAGAGAGCTCCCCAATGGACGTGCAGCACTGGGTCTGTAGCTGTTCCCAAGCTTGGACACAAGGGCCTTCCCTCAGGCCTGATTCTGCAGACAGAGGTGCCATGGGGGAGAGGCACAGACTGGGTCAGTTACCAGGGGTCATTTTAGGGATGTGTGCTCCAAGGCTACGGTGGCAGTAAAGAAAACAGGATGGTGAGGTCGGCATGTTCAGCCTTACAGGGGCTGAGGTGAGGTTTAAGCTGGACTCACTGACCTGCTGGGAAACCACTTCAGTCGTTCAGAACCAAAGGCGGGGCTTGTGAAACAGAATCAGTTCTTTGGTGGGCCCCCAGTTTCTGACAAGTCCCTGGGTGTGCGGAGCCTGTGGTTCCCTGGTGGTCACACTTTCCCCAAACAGGTGGGGGTCCAGAGCATTTTGGTCCTCGGTGCTCCTCAGTGAGGTCCACCACCTTCAGTCTTCCCGGCCTGAGACCTTCCTTCCAGTGGCTCCAAAAATGGGGTCTTCCATTCTGTGCCCTGGCCTTCTCCCTCTCACCCAGCAGAGGAATCCTACAGCAAGCTGACTCCTTTTCAGGGCCTTCCACCAAGACTCCATTTCTAGTTCCATGGATGGCTGCATCACTGCTTGAAATAGTACTTCCTATTTGGACTCCCAGGCTCTTTTGAGGCTGGCTAGAATGTTGGTGGCTTCTTGTCCCTTTGCTTGAACTGTCAATGATTTCCCAGGCCGGTAAGATAAAGTTCACCCAACCTCTTTAGCTTGACCAAACTCCTACTAGGGCTTCCCTGACAGCTCAGTTGGTAAAGAATCCGCCTGCAATGCAGGGGACCCCAGTTTGATTCCTGGGTCGGGAAGATCCACTGGAGAAGGGATAGGCTACCCACTCCAGTATTCTTGGGCTTCCCCGGTGGCTCAGCTGGTAAAGAATCTGCCTGCAATGAGGGAGACCTGGGTTCGACACCTGGGTTGGGAAGATCCCCTGGAGAAGGGAAAGGCTACCCACTACAGTATTCTGGCCTGCAGAATTCCATGGACTGTATAGGCCATGGGGTTGCAAAGACTCAGACATGACTAAGTGACTTTCACTTTCAAACTCCTACTGCTCCATGTTCCTCCTAGTCACAGGACGCTTTCATACTTCAGAGAGACAACACACTGCTAACGAAACTATGACAAACCAATGCCTGTGAACCTGACCTTTTACCTTTAAACACCATCTAGTGGCCTGTACCCAGTGACTCTTCAACCTACACAGTCTTGGCTGGAAGCCATGTATCCCTCCTCGGAACTTACACCACCTGGTCTTAATTCCTGCCTTGAATTACAGGGCCTTCTGAATGTATCTTAACTCCTTTATTCTAAGTGCCTTAGGCCAAAGATCCTGTTTTATTTCTGTCTGTGTTCCCTCACCCTAGCAGTTCAGTTTCCCCCAAGGTTGGGATGAAGTTTGTATCACACACACTGCATGGCATGTACAATACCTTCAGTTTATTCCAATCTCCCCAGGTGCCTCCCCCTTGGACAAAGGTAGAGGAAAAAAAAAACAGACATCTTTAAGATTACATTTCAATGAGTCTGAGAAGAAACCAGGTTCTGTAAGAACAACAGGAAATAAAGAATGCCAATTCACTACATGTGCTGATTTTTAGGAACTGCCCTAAAGGGTTCTGTGAGCATGAGCTGTGAGGAAATAGTCCTTTCTGTATCATCTCCAAGCAGATAAAGGAGGGACTCTTCTCTCTGACCTTTCCCATGGCTTCCTGTCCACCTGCCCAGTGTCCCACCTTGCCATTAAAAGGACAAGAGGGCTCTGTGGATGATAAGAAAGGTATACATGAAAGAATGCTTTATGAAAAATAATGCAGGCAGGCACAGCACCTGTACCTGAGAGAGAACTCGGGGCATGCAAGGAGGTGAACAACCAGCAGTCTTTCCCCTGCGGGGATTGGGAGTTTACAGTTGTTCAAGCTTTCTAAGCTTTTTCTCTCAACTCTGTATCTATTTGAAATGTACATTTGATGCCTCACATAACTTCTGCTTTTCTCTAGGTATTTGTCATCTGTGGCTCCTTGAACAGTCTACATGGAAATAAATCTAGGACCCCCTCCTCAATCAGCAGATGGCTGTTTCTTCCCTACAGCTTCTTTGGTTGTGCACAGGGGACACTGGAATGATTAAGGAACCCAGGGGCAGAGAGAACACAAAACACTTAGAATAGGAAGCTGCTGCCCGGTTTTAAGAAATCGACATCCAGTCCCACAAAGAAGACGTGTCTGCTAATTTAACTGTCCTCTTGGTCACAGAAGGGTAGATGTACTGTCATCAAACTGGCCGGGGGAGACCTAAGCTAAGACAATCACTGGGAGGAGGTTAGTTTATTGGTCTCCAGGGGAGAGAGTTATCAGCTAGGGAATGCATCAAAGGGCCAGGGCTGGGGGCGCCTCACATGACCTTGCGCAGGTGGTGAAAGCTCCGCACAGTCTTATCCACAGCATCATCCATGGTGACCAGTGGCCGGTAGCCCATGAGTTTTTTGGCTTTCTCGCAGCTGTAGTAGTGGAACGTGCCGGCCAGTGCGACCCTCATGGGCGTGAAAGTGGGCTGAAGCTGGATGACAGGACTGATCACCATCACCAGGAGGGACACCAGGAGGGCTAGATAGTAGGCCAGCCAGTAGGGAATGTGGTACTTGGGGGCCTCGTAATTGAGGCCTGTCAGGATTCGGGACAGGAAAGTCCAGAAGGGGATGGGCTCGTCGTTGGTGATGTGAAAAGCCTGCAGAGAGAACCAGAAACTAGGAACTGCTTCCCAGCAGTGTGGGGAGCGGGCCATGCTTGGAGCTCAGCTGTAGCCTGCTGGCTCAGCCAAGACCAATATTTTGAGAAGCCAGGGGCTGCTCCCTGCCTACCCACCCCAGTTCCTTCACAGGGCAGCTCAAAAGTAAGGTGGAGATTAAGCCCACACAGAGTGCAGCATTTCTCGTGGTCCTCAAGTCTGCAAATGTCAGCCAGTGAGTGACAGGCCTTTTGGGTTTGCAGCTACAGGCAACTTTCCGGGGTAGTGGGGAAGGTGATGAAAGTTTAGCTGTGGGTCAGGATTTCAAGTGAAGCTTAGACTGTACTTGGGAATGTACGTTGGTTATTTTAATAACTGTGTTAATCATGGTAAAGGATCTTATCTTCAGATGCCATGAATGGGTCGTATGACCTATCTCAAATGTGCTCCCTCCCCCCCGCCACATTGAGAGTTCTGAGTTGGAAAAGGGCTGAAATCCAGGAGAGAAAAATGAGACCCCAATGGGGAGGGGATTCCAAAAGTGGGAGTGAGAAACAAGGAAGGGGGACCTAGGAGTGTGCTCTCCCATCTCTGTGTAAGAGCTGACCTTCCCTTGTCAGAGGGCTTGACCATGCCCCAGTGGGATCCTAAGGTAGGTCTGCCAGGAAGCAGGGTCAGAGAAGCAGTGTGCCAGCAGATGGCATCACAGGGACACACAGGGGCAGGAGGGCCAGCCACTGTTGAGCGGGTGGAAGCAGGTGCATTACCTTCCCACCCAAGGCGGTGTCCCGGGAGAGGTGCTCCGCAGCCAGGATGTGTCCGTGGACCACGTTCTCCACAAAGGTAAAGTCTACCAAGTTCTTCCCATTCCTGCAGAGGCACAAGGAATGAGTATCCTGTGCCTGGAGCACTCAGCTGCACACCTGGCAGAGCCCCATAACCCCCCTTGGCAATGCCAGCCCAGGGACACCTGGGCATCCATGAAGATGTGCTGGAGGCCAGGGCTCCTGGGCCTTCAGGGCCAGAGGGGTATTTAGGGGCCAACCCATGGATCTGAAAGCCCCTAGCCCTGCCTGTCCCATCCTGGCATGGCCTGTGCTGGTGGTGTCTTCTCTGAGCTCCAGTTTGGATAGCAGCTCTCAACTCCCTCCAGGGCACTGCAGCCTAATGCACTGCTCTGGCCTCAAGGGGTCTCTACTATCTCTTTCTAGTCCTGTGGCAAGAGGCTGAGCGAGAGGCAGGGAGGCAAGGTGGCAAAGCACATGGATAAGGGGGGAAAGAAAGGAAGAAAAGAGAATGAAGGACGGATGGATGGATGGATGAATAGAAGGAAAGAGGGAAGGAAAGATGTATTGGGGACACAGAACCACTCTCACCACCTGCAGAGGCCCAGAGGAGGAATGTTAACACCTCCCCTTGCCTTCCTAGATGCAAGGAAAGTCAACCCCTTGACCCTGGGACAATTGTTTCTCCTCTGAGTCAGTTTCCTGACTTTCCAAACATGGACACAAATATTTTTCTGGCCTGCCTGAGAGGGTTCATGGGGCAGAAATCCATGTATCCCTGGAACCTGTGATTATGACCTTATCTGGAGATGAGGTCTTTGAATATATAATTAGTTAAGACAAGGTTGCACTAGAGTAGGGTGGGCCTTAAACCTAATGACTGGTGTTCTTATAAGAGGAAGGATCTTTTAGAAAAGACACACAGAGAAAAGCATGTCATGTAAAGATGGAGGCTGAGATTGAAGTGACATGTCTACGAGCCAAGGTTTGCTGGCAGCCATGTGAGGCTGGGAGCAAGGCCTGGAACAGACCCCCTCAGAGCCTCCACAGGGAGCCAACCCCACCAACACTTGGATTTTGGGAGTCCTGGACTCCAGCACAGGGAGTGAACCCATTTTTGTTATTCTCGGCCTCATTTCTTGTGGAAGCCACAGGAAATGGACAACAGGCAGAAGACAAGGCCACAGGAGAAAAGGGCCGATGGTGACTGACCCTTGCTTCAGGGGCTGGGGGGCATGGAGGGGGGCAGTCAGGGGCCAACTTACCCAATCACGAACTTCATCTTGCCTTTCTTGGCTGCCTCGATGAGAATGGGGACCAACTGGGGGTCCCTTGGGCCAAAAATGCCATGAGGGCGGATCGCTGTGGTCAGGAAATTCTTCTCGGGATCATGGGCACCCAGGACTGCCTGCAGGAGAGCGAAGGGAGGGTGTGGGTTGCAGATACTGAAGAATTCTAGACTACTTCTCTGTCCCTTTCTCCACCCCAACACCCACATCTGAAGACACAGGACAGAGAGCTGGGTCAAAGCCAGTAAGAGCCAATAGAAAGGACTGGCCTTAAGAGAAACAGGGTTTGTCTCAAAAGGAACAAAACTTCCCAAAGATCTGTTAGGTTGTTGCTAAAAATGGAGATTGTGATGAAATGAGATGGTCCACGTCAACTCATTCTACTGCCTCACTGAGGGTTTCTGCTCTACGGTGGCAAAATCCTTGCTCATGTTTTGGTCTGAGCGAGTTCAAGTTACTTGCCGACTGTTCACAATGATCAGAGTTACCCAAAGGGGTCTCACTTGTGTTGACTTGTTGGGTACTCTGTTGGAAATAAGGTAAGCCTATAAATGCCTCTGGGAGGCTCTCTGTGCTCCAAGGAACAAGGGGACAGACCCAGGACTGGAGCTCGCAAATGGCAAGGCCTCCATCTCTGCACTGCGAGGCCCTTGGGTTTCCCAGCAGAGGAGCTCTTCTGGGACGTTCCAAGTCGGAGTAATAGCAAACAGACGGGGGCAGCCGGTGCTCAGACCACGCAGGGAGACTCAGGCCAATTCAGTGTTAAGCTTTGCTTCCATATGTACTGGCTATGAAAGGAAACCTCAGTGGGTGCGGTACACTGCCAACACCTGGGAGAGTCACTCACAGCTGCCCAGCTAAGGTAAGCTGCCCATGGCTGATGAACACCCATGGTCCACAGTGTAGGGTGTCCTTCCGGTAATATTCTCCTGGACATTAGTCCTGGAGCTGGCAACTGTCAGAGTCCCCGTTATGTGGTCCAGACCACTGCTAAAACCAGGAGCTCCCCAGTGAAGCTGACTTGCCAAGTGGAAAACCACTTTCCCTTAAAATAAAGCAAGATCCTTCCATTGTTTGCTTTTTTTTTAAAAGAGGAGGGGGTGCAAGAGTACTAGGAAGGTGTATTCAAATAAAAACACACTTGAGTGTTTAGCTGAGTTTTGCTTGCCACTTTGGATTATCATAAATTGTCTGATTTCTGGAGCAGAGGTTGAGTGCAGGCTCTAGAGCTGCATGGCCTAAGGAAGCTTCTGAATCTCTGTGTATCAGCTGTCCTCAACTGTCTTCTGTAACCTGGTGAAGATCATAGTACCTGCCTTAAGGGGTCATTATGAAGCTTAAATGAAGCTATTCCCCGTAAAACACAGAGCAGCATCTGGCTACATTAGGCTATTCTGTTACTATTTTTTCTGTTATCATCTTTTTTTTATTTGTTTTTATTAGTTGGAGGCTAATTACTTTACAATGTTATCATCTTTAGAACTGAATTTCATCCACAAATTTTATTTCACAAGTTATGTAGTTAGGCTTCAGAATACTAACATTCTATGTTCATAAACATTCTACTTAAGAATCTAAATCCTGCAAATGTTCATGGAACTCGTTTGTCACCGACTCAACCAGTTGTCAGGTACATACTCTCTCTTGTAAGATCTTTGTCTCTGTGTAGTAGTCAATTGGTTTCATGGCATAAGGGAGGTCTTCAGTTCCATTCTTGATGTCAACACCCTCAAAGATGACACTGGCACTGCTGGTTAAAATGAGTTTCTGGCAGAGGAGAAAATTAGATGTTAAAAAATGAGTCAGGAAGGATCACTATATAAACACCATGAAGGTCACGTAGGAAAGGAAATCAAATGGCACATGTTCACTTTTTTTACTATGATGCCTTCCCTTTTCAGGCCTTCTTTAAACAATGCAAAGATCACTATCTTTTGCAGGTATGAGGATTTGAGACACATTATGGTATGACATTCTAAAACAGTAGATTTTATATTTTCCCTCGTCTTATCACAACTGAAGGATAGAAGACACTTCTGCTCCCAAACTTGGCACATCAGTATACACACACAGGCATGGTGAAATGCTATTTGACAGGAAGGTGCTTTCTTATGAGGGTCCCCAGCTTTCAGCTATCTGGTTACGGGAAGCCCATCCTAAACTGAACACCATTAGCTCAAATCACATCTCTATCACTTTTATTCAACATGGTCCTGCAAGTCCTAGCCAGCATGGTAGGATAAGGTAAACAATAAACTATTAAATATAATGATTTGAAAAGAAGAAACAAAACTATCACCATTTGCAAGTGTTGGAAATGTCTATATACAAAACACTACAAACATACAGAAAATGTTAGACTTCAGCAAGTCGCAGAGTACAAAATTGATACACAAAAATTAACTGTGTTTCTATGCAGTAGCAGTGGAAAATGAAAGATATTTCAATCACCAGAAGTGAGGTATATGGAATAAATTTAACAAAAGATGTACAGAACCTTTATGAAGTAAAGTAAAAGGTCTAATGAAAGGCATTAAAGAGAGAGAGAAATACATAGCAAGACTCCATATTGGAAAAGATGTCCATTCTCTCCCAAATTAGTTTTAGGTTTGATGCAATTACACTAACATTTCCAATAGGCTTTATCAAGAACTTGACAAGCTGATTCTAAAATGTGTATGAATGAGCAAAGGGCTATAGTCAAGCAGAACAGAGTTGGGGAGTGACTTGTCCTACACTAGATACTGAGGTTCATCCTAGGGCAGGGCACAGGGGCCTGGGCACAGACAGGGCCACGGAGCACGAGAGCCGGGAACAGGCCCGCAGAGACATGCTGCATAGGGCACTAAACATCAGGGAAGGGACGATGGTACAGTACATGCTGCTGAGCACCCAAACATCCTCTGCTTACCTCAGAACATATACAGACAGAAATTCCTGGTGGATTAGAGATGTAAATGTGGGAAGTAACACTTTAAGCCTTTGAGAAGAAAAGCAGTCAATGATTGTTTCATCTCTGTTGAGAGAGATTCCCTAAATACCGCATAAAACCCCCACTTCCTGCACCGCTACCCACTGAGCTATCCTGTCACTTCAGTGACTATACCAGACTGTACTATATTTCAAGACAAAGAAATCTCAAAAATATAATGCTGCAGCAAGAACAAGTGCCTTATGAAAGGAGGCAAAAAAGGAACCAAGAAGAAAGTGGTTGACCCATTTTCTAAAAAAGACTGGTATGATGTGAAAGCACCGGCTATGTTCAATATAAGGAATATTGCGAAAACACTGGTCATGAGGACTCAAAGAACCAAAATCGCATCTGATGACCTCAAAGGTCGTGAAGTGAGTCTTGCTGATCTGCAGAATGACAAAGTAGCATTTAATAAATTCAAGCTAATTACTGAGGATGTTAATGGCAAAAACTGCCTGACTAATTGCCATGCTATGGATCTTACTCGTGACAAAATGTGCTCCATGGTCAAAAAATGGCAGACCATGACTGAAGCTCACGTTGATGTCAAGACTACCGATGGTTACTTGCTTCATCTGTTCTGTGTGGGTTCTACTAAAAAACACAACAATCAGATTCAGCAAGACCTCTTAAGCCCAGCACCAGCAGGGTGCTTACCTTAGCTGGGCAGCTGTGAGTGACTCTCCCGGGTGTTTGTAGTGGACTGCACCACTGAGGTTTCCTTTCATAGCCAGTACATATGGAAGCAAAGCTTAACACTGAATTGGCCTGAGTCTCCCTGCGTGGTCTGAGCACCAGCTGCCCCCCATCTGCTATTACTCCATCTGCAAGATGACAGAAATCATAACCTGAGAGGTGCAAACAAATGACTTGAAAGAGGTGGTCAATAAATTGATTCCAGATAGCATTGGAAAAGACACAGAAAAGGCTTGCCAATCTATTTATCCACTCCATGATGTCTTTGTTAGAAAAGTAAAAATGCTGAAGAAGCCCAAATTTGAATTGGGAAAACTCATGGAGCTACATGGTAAAGGTGGTAGCTCTGGAAAAGCTACTGGGGACAAGACAGGTGCTAAAGTTGAATGAGCTGATGGATATGAGCCACCAGTTCAAGAATTTGTTTAAAATGCAGACTTTTAATGGTGACAAATAAAAGATCTAATTTGTGGTTAAAAAAAATATAATGTTGAGGGGGAAAAAAGCAAGTTGCAGGAAGATATATTCAGTATATTATTTTTACAAAGTTTTAGAATTTCTGTTTTGGCTGTGCCACATAGCATGCAGAAGGACAGCAGTGACAATGAGGATGGGTAAGGGCATGACTGCAGCATCACTAGTAATACTGTCACCTCAACGTTGTGATGAGTGTATGGGTGCTATATTACTCTCAGATCTTTTCTGTATGCCTGGGATGGTCGAATGAAAAAACAGCAGAGTGCAATTCACAGAGCTCCAGTTAATACAGGCACAGTAGAAAGTAGTAAGGAGTGTGAGATTTACAACTGTCACTTGATTTGCTCCTTCACAAGTAACCAGGGGCTACTAATGTTGCTTAATAGGTGAGGAACCAGATTTGAGAACTAAGTGATGCCTCTCTGCTAGTAACTCAGACCTGAGAAGGTACAATATCCACCATAATGTAGCTTGCTGCATTGTTATAAACCCTGGTTCTCTGGATCACCATAATGGGGTACCAGCCACTAGCAAAAACAGTGCCCCTATCAGCCGAGCCCCTGATGCTTGGGGAAGTGACAGTGACATATGCCACAGATGCTTTGCGAACAAGAGAAGAGAGCTGTTGCCCAGCCTCTGGCGTCACCAGTTGGCACAACAAGAACAGGCAACGTTTGGAAAAATAATATGACAGTTCCTTAAGACAGTAACGATGATCCTATATGCAAGGCAGCAAAAGAGACACAGATGTAAAGAACAGACTTTTGGACTCTGTGGGAAAAGGTGAGGGGGATGATTTGAGAGAATAGCATTGAAACATGTATATTACCATAAGTAACATAAATGACCAGTGTAAGTTCGATGCATGAAGCAGGGCACTCAAAGCCGCTGCTCTGGGACCACTCAGAGGGATGAGGTGGGGAGGGAGGTGGGAGAGGTTTCAGGATTGGGGACACATGTGCACCCGTGGCTGATTCATGTCGATGTATGGCAAAAACCACCACAGTACTGTAAAATAACTATCCTCCAATAAAAATAAATAAATTAATTAAAAAAAATAAAAGCTTAAACACAGAATTACTATATGATCCAGGAATTTCACTCCTGGATATTTACGTCAAATAAGTGAAAGCAGAAAGTGGAGCAGATTACTTGCATACCCATGTTCACAGCAGCATGATTCACAATAGTCAAAACAGCCCAGGAATCCACCAAGGGATGAATAAACAAACAAAATGCAGCATAGACCTCCAATAGGCTGTTATTCAGCCTTAAAAAAGCAGGAAATTTTGATTCCACTACAGCCTGGATGAACCTGGAAGGTGTTATGCCAAGTAAAGTTAAGTCAGACACAAAAGGGCACGCGTTCTATGATTGCACTTGTGTGGGGTCCTTAGAGGAGTGAGAGAGCAGGATGATGGGTGCCAGGGGCAGGGAGAGGGGGAGTTAGGGTTTAATTGGTACAGATTTCAGCCTCCTTAGGAAGATGAAAAAATTCTGGAGGTGGATGATGGTGGTGGTTGACAGCAATGTGAATGTGCTTAATGCCACTGAACTGTACACTTAAAAATGGTTAAAATGGTAACTTTTATGTTTTATATATATTATTTATATTAAAAACATGTTTTTTAAAGCACAACAAAAAACACAAGCAATTTCTAAATTTTGTCACTCTTTACCTAAAGACTAATAAGGCTTAGGGTCTTCATATGGTTTGCTCAGCAGCAACCAGGGCCGAAACTTTAGGCTCTTTGCAACACTTCAGGAAGCAGGCCTAGCTAGCCCAGGAAGTGAACAAAAGCCCTGGCCCCCACGCACTTGGGAAAAGCCACCACACATTCTTGACAGCATTCATCCCAGCTTTCCCCTTACCTGAACCCCAGCCTCTTTGCAAGTTTCAATGACATTCTTGGTGCCAATGTAATTCACTCTATAAAAGAGTTCCCTGTTGTTACTGAATGGTGGGGGTGATGCACAGTGGAAAACTGTGCTTACATCTTTCAGAGCTGGGTACAGGTCCTGGAAAGCAAACAAAGACAAAAAAAATCACTCCTGCTTTATACAAGTAAACAGCCTCCTCACATTCCCAGTCTCCAATCTGGGGCATGAAGGTGTCTTGCCCTTTTATAAATCTCCAGTCAACACAGAAATACATTCTTACTGTAAAAGCTTCAAAGACACAGAAGTATATGAGGTAGAAACCGTACTGTCCCTTTAACCACCTCCCTCCTCACTACCTCGGCCCCAATAAAAACTGGTTTGGGGCATAAGAAGCCTGTAGGATCCAGAAAAAGTCAACATCTGTGCCTCTGTGACTCATGGGTGGTGGATGGTGGGTGCCAGGTGGGTGGGAAAATCCAGGGCACCTGAAGTTAAAACTCTTGGGGAAGATGAGCCCATAGATACAGATTATGCATCATATGAAAGGCCCATACTGCAAAAGACAGTGTAAATATCCTATATACAGGAGTAATCCTTTCTGTGAAAATAGACATACAACAAAGGGTAACTAGAGATGGACTGCTACAGGGAAGCAGAGTTCCTGAGAGAAATCATTGATTGCAGATCTGGGGCCAGAGACAGACAAGATAAGCCAAGAACACATTGTTGCACCAAAAAGGAAGTCCTATGAAAAGGACTCCAGAGCCAAATTGAAACATGCCAACTGACAAAAGAAAGACAGGACAATTTGATTAGCAGTAGTCATGGACGGATGTGAGAGTTGGACTATAAAGAAAGCTGAACACTGAAGAATTGATGCTTTTGAACTGTGGTATTGGAGAAGACTCTTGAGAGTCCCTTGGACAGCAAGGAGATCCAACCAGTCCATCCTAAAGGAAATCAGTCCTGAACATTCATTGGAAGGACTGATGCTGAAGCTGAAACTCCAACATTTTGGCCACCTGATGCGAAGAGCTGACTCATTTGAAAAGACCCTGATGCTGGGTAAGACTGAAGGCAGGAGGAGAAGGGTACTACAGAGGATGGATGGTTGGATGGCATCACTGATCAATGGACATGCTGCTGCTGCTGCTAAGTTGCTTCAGCCATGTCCAACTTCTTGCCACCCCATGAACTGCAGCACGCCAGGCCTCCCTGTCCATCACCAACTTCCGGAGTTTACTCAAACTCATGTCCATTGAGTCGGTGATGCCATCCAGCCATCCCATCCTCTGTTGTCCCCTTCTCCTCTTGCCCTCAATCTTGCCCAGCATCAGGCTCTTTTCAAATGAGTCAGCTCTTTGCATCAGGTAGAAAAAGTATTGGAGCTTCAGCTTCAGCATAAGTCCTTCCCAGTGAATATTCAGGACTGATCTCCTTTAGGATGGACTGGTTGGATCTCCTTGCAGTCCTAAGGACTCTCAAGAGTCTTCTCCAACACCACATTTCAAAAGCATCAATTCTTCTGTGCGCAGCTTTCTTTATAGTCCAACTCTCACATCCATACATGACTACTGGAAAAACCATAGCCTTGACTAGATGGACCTTTGTTGACAAAGCGTAACTTTCCTTCCAAGGAGTAAGCGTCTTTTAATTTCATGGCTGCAATCACCATCTGCAGTGATTTTGGAGCCCCCCAAAATAAAGTGCCATGAAGTGATGGGACCAGATGCCATGATCTTAGTTTTCTGAATGTTGAGCTTTAAGCCAACATTTTCACTCCTCTTTCACTTTCATTAAGAGGCTTTTTAGATCTTCTTCACTTTCTGCCATAAGGGTGATGTCATCTGCATACCTGAGGTTATTGATATTTCTCCCGGCAATCTTGATTCCAGCTTGTGCTTCTTCAAGCCCAGCATTTCTCATGATGTTCTCTGCAAATAAGTTAAATAAGCAGGGTGACAATATACAGCCTTGACATACTCCTTTTCCTATTTGGAACCACTCTATTGTTCCATGTCCAGTTCTAACTGTTGCTTCCTGACCTGCATACAGGTTTCTCAAGAGGCAGGTCAGGTGGTCTGGTATTCCCATCCCCTTCAGAATTTTCTACAGTTTATTGTGATCCACACAGTCAAAGGCTTTGGCATAGTCAATAAAGCAGAGGTAGATATTTTTCTGGAATTCTCTTGCTTTTTTGATGATCTGGCGGATGTTGGCAATTTGATCTTTGGTTCCTCTGCCATTCTGAAAACCAGCTTGAACATCTGGAAGTTCACAGTTCACGTATTGCTGAAGCCTGGCTTGGAGAATTTTGACCATTACTTTACTAGCATGTGAGATGGGTGCAATTGTGCAGTAGTTTGAGCATTCTTTGGCATTGCCTTTCTTTGGGATTGGAATGAAAAATGACCTTTTCCAGTCCTGTGGCCACTGCTGAGTTTTCCAAATTTGCTGACATATTATGTGCAGCACTTTCACAGAATCATCTTTCAGGATTTTAAATAGCTCAACTGGAATTCCATCACATCCACTAGCTTTGTTTGTTGTGATGCTTCCTAAGGCCCACTTGACTTCACATTCTAGGATGTCGGGCTCTAGGTGAGTGATCACACCATTGTGATTATCTGGGTCATGAAGATCTTTTTTGTACAGTTCTTTTGTTTATTCTTGCCACCTCTTCTTAATATCTTCAGCTTCTATTAGGTCCATACCATTTCTGTTTTTTATTGAGTCCATCTTTGCATGAAATGTTCCCTTGGTATCTCTAATTTTCCTGAAGAGATCTCTAGTCTTTCCCATTCTATTGTTTCCTTCTATTTCTTTGCATTGATCGCTGAGGAAGGCTTTCTTATCTCTCCTTGCTATTATTTGGAACTCTGCATTCAAATGGGCATATCTTTCCTTTTCTCCTTTGCTTTTCACTTTTCTTCTTTTCTCAGCTATTTGTAAGGCCTCCTCAGACAGCCATGTTGCTTTTTTGCTTCTTTTTCCTGGGGATGGTCTTGATCCCTGTCTCCTGTACAATGTTATGAACCTCCGTCCATAGTTCATCAGGCTCTGCCTGTCAGATCTAGTCCCTTAAATCTATTTTTCACTTCCACTGTATAATCATAAGGGATTTGATTTAGGTCATACCTGAATAGTCTAGAGGTTTTCCCTACTGTCTTCAATTTAAGCCTGAATTTGGCAATAAGGAATTCATTATCTTAGCCACAGTCAGCTCCCCGGCTTGTTTTTGCTAACTGTATAGAGCTTCTCCATCTTTGACTGCAAAGAATATAATCAGTCTGATTTTGGTGTTGACTGTCTGGTGATATCCATGTGTAGAGTCTTCTATTGTGTTGTTGGAAGAGGGTGTTCGCTATGACCAGTGCGTTCTCTTGGGAAAACTCTATTAGCCTTTGCCCTGCTTCATTCTGCACTCCAAATCTGTACACCATAGTTTGGCCCCAGGTAAATCAAATCCCTTATGACTATACAGTGGAAGTGAGAAATAGATTTAAAGGACTAGATCTGACAGACAGAGCCTGATGAACTATGGATGGAGGTTCATGACATTGTACAGGAGACAGGGATCAAGACCATCCCCATGGAAAAGAAATGCAAAAAAGCAAAATGGTTGTCTGAGGAGGCCTTACAAATAGCTGTGAAATGAAGAGAAGCAAAAAGCAAAGGAGAAAAGGAAAGATATTTCCATTTGAATGCAGAGTTCCAAAGAATAGCCAGGAGAGATAAGAAAGACTTCCTTAGCAATCTATGCAAAAAAATAGAGGAAAACAACAGAATTGGAAAGACTGGAGATCTCTTCAAGAAAATTAGAGATACCAAGGGAAGATTTCATGCAAAAATGGGCTCAATAAAGGACAGAAATGGTAGGGACTAACAGAAGCAGAAGATATTAAGAGGTGGCAAGAATAAACAGAAGAATTGTACTAAAAAGATCTTCATGACCCAGATAATCACAATGGTGTGATCACTCACCTAGAGCCAGACATCCTGGAATGTGAAGTCAAGTGGGCCTTAGAAAGCATCACGACAAACAAAGCTAGTGGATGTGATGGAATTCCAGTTGAGCTATTTAAAATCCTGAAAGATGATTCTGTGAAAGTGCTGCACTCAATATGACAGCAAATTTGGAAAACTCAGCAGTGGCCACAGGACTGGAAAAGGTCAGTTTTCAATCAAATCCCAAAGAAAGGCAATGCCAAAGAATGCTCAAACTTCTGCACAATTGAACTCATCTCACACGCTAGTAAAGTAATGGTCAAAATTCTCCAAGCCAGGCTTCAGCAATACGTGAACCGCGAACTTCCAGATGTTCAAGCTGGTTTTAGAAAAGGCAGAGGGACCAGAGATCAAATCGCCAATATCTGCTGGATCATCGAAAAAGCAAGAGAGTTCCAGAAAGACATCTATTTCTGCTTTATTGACTATGCCAAGGCCTTTGGCTGTGTGGATCACAATAAACTGTAGAAAATTCTGAAGGGGATGGGAAGACCAGACCACCTGACCTGCCTCTTGAGAAACCTGTATGCAGGTCAGGAAGCAACAGCTAGAACTGGACATGGAACAACAGACTGGTTCCAAATAGGAAAAGGAGTATGTCAAGGCTATATATTGTCACCCTGCTTATTTAACTTATATGCAGAGTACATCATGAGAAACGCTGGGCTGGAAGAAGCACAACCTGGAATCAAGATTGCCGGGAGAAATATTAATAACCTCAGATATGCAGATGACACCACCCTTATGGCAGTGAGTGAAGAAGAACTAAAGAGCCTCTTGATGAAAGTGAAAGAGGAGAGTGAAAAAGTTGGCTTAAAGCTTAACATTCAGAAAACTAAGATCATGGCATCTGGTCCCATCACTTCATGAGAAATAGATGGGGAGACAGTGGAAACAGTGTCAGACTATTTTTTTGGGCTCCAAAATCACTGCAGATGGTGATTGCAGCCATGAAATTAAAAGATGCTTACTCCTTGGAAGGGAAGTTATGACCAATCTAGATAGCATATTAAAAAGCAGAGACATTACTTTGCCAACAAAGGTCCATCTGGTCAAGGCTATGGTTTTTCTAATGGTCATGTATGGATGTCAGAGTTGGACTATGAAGAAAGTTGAGTGCCGAAGAATTG